AAACTGAGGCACGGAGGCTCCCCGGGGCGAGAGCGGCTCGGGGCTACGGCCTGGAGGGACAGCGCAGTCCCCTCTATGGCACAGGGGGAGAAATGCGGAGCACTGAGGCCCGGGTGTTATCTGGAAGGACGGGCAAACCTGTGTCACGCTGCCCCGTGATACCTGCACCCACATGGGGACAGGGGGTGGCCAAGGAATTTGGTGGCAGTGTGTGTTTGGAGACGGCGGTGGCCCCCGTAGCGGGTGACACTGTGTCAAGGGACTCGATGTGGCCCAAGGATCCGGTGCAGCAGCCTGATATCCTCCATCCTTCCCCCCGCAGCCAAATCCCTGCCCTCCTTCCTGGCTCCTGGCAACATTTTACAAGCGCCCGGGTCCAGCCTTGAGTCACCGACCATGAAACCCCCATTAAATCCTCTTTGCAGAAAGCGGGGCCGACTTGTGACAGCTCTCCCCCTGCCTCTTATTTCTTCACCTTGGCTCCTTGCCAGCACCAAATGTTTCTCCTTTCTGAATAAATGCACAGAAAGGAAAAAAATAAAATAAAAAGGGGGAAGGAAAAAGGAATACAAACAGCCTAACAATAATTGCCAAAAGAATTTAGTGGAGGAGGGGGGAAAACGTTTATTTGAAGCAGGAATTGGACACATTTCGCTTTCACTGTTGCTGCAGGCAATAACCAAAAGGAGCCGGGCAGCTCTGCCGTCATGAGCGACGCTGGAGCTCGCAACGGGCGCAACTCATCACACGGGAGCTACCGCAGCCACTAAATGCCCTGGAGGGGCCCAAGCTAAGGGAATAACCCAGCCCCGGCCTCGAGGCTGGAAACGGGGTTGTAAACAAGGCCAAGCTGGAAAAAAGAATAGTTTGGCCATATAAGGCGGCGAGCTCCCGCAATCCCGCCGCGGTCCGAAGCACCAGAGCCGGCTGGCGGGATGAGCCCTGGGAAGCGGCGCCAGGCGTCGAAGCTCGGCGCGAGGCAGGGGCAGAGCAGGAGGCGACAGCGCTTCCCGAAGGGAAAGGGGATGAATCCCCGATCCCGACCCTCATCCCTTCATCCCGCGGCAGCCAAAGGCACGGAGCAAGCTCAGCTTTCCGTGTCACCCTCCGGCAGCACGCGGGCTCCGCTGGGGCCCAGGCGCTCGGCCGCAGCAGGGGGGGGACGCGCTGGCTGCTTTTCTTGGCTCTGCTGCTGCGCATCCTTCCCGGGAGCCGCCAGGTCAGCGCCCCGCGCAGCGCTCCTTGCTTTTCCAAGGGGATCCGGTTGCAGTGTCAAAGCAACAAAGCCGCCCGGGCGCCCTAAGTAAACTTTTCCAATGCTTAATTACCCTTGCTATTTGGGGAGAGAAAACAAATAGAAAATATTAACCACGGTGGCTTTCCAAGCTGGTTCTTCTTCCACTGCAGCTTCCCAGGGCCGGAGCGGCCGCGGAGCGTTACACTGAGGAGCAGAAACGCTATCACCATTGAGATCCGCTGTCAGCTCCGGGGCTGCTCGGCCTTCCCTGGTTTTTGCACTTTGGGGTTTTTTGCATCACTTGGAGCAGCGAGGACACAGAGCAGCCGAGCTCTTGGTACCGGGAACCGTGGGGGGAGACGGAGGCCTCGGCGGGACGCGGGGGAGAGTTTCCACCTGCCGCCCTGTTTATTTTAGTGCCTTACATGGGAGCCAAGCGGCTTTGAAATCCCGCCTCGGCGTGAGTCACCCCGCAGGAATTAAACTGCTTCCAGCCAGCAGCGACGTCAGGGCAGAGCGGCTCCGGGGTCCCGTGTGGAGCGGCTCCTCCGGCTGCAAATGTGACCGGGACCCGAGTCCGGCACCGGGGAACAGCTTCCCTGCTGGAGAAAGGAGCCGCTGGAGCAGTCGTTCGGATCCGACACGGAGGCTGAGGCATTGCTGCCAAGTCTTGGCATGTTTTGGAGGGAAAAATTGCAAAAACTCTTCAATGACCGTCCTACTTGCAGCCCAAAATGCCTGAATTTTGCTCCAGTTGGTGGTCTCAGTCGCAAAAGCATACCGAAATGCCAAACCATGCTGGTCCCAAAACGGGGCACTTCCAGAGAAAAAAGCCCCAAGCTCTGCTCGTGCTTCCTCTTGCTCGAACTTATGTGATTTTATTGACACCTCACCGTGCTCCTGCAGCTTGTGACACTCCTGCTTGCTCCGTTTGTTATTTAAATTTTGCTCCAGTTGGTGGTCTCAGTCGCAAAAGCATACCGAAATGCCAAACCATGCTGGTCCCAAAACGGGGCACTTCCAGAGAAAAAAGCCCCAAGCTCTGCTCGTGCTTCCTCTTGCTCGAACTTATGTGATTTTATTGACACCTCACCGTGCTCCTGCAGCTTGTGACACTCCTGCTTGCTCCGTTTGTTATTTAGCGGCTCGGCGGACGTCCCGCTCTCATTCCCCGAATTTCCCTGGGCGCCTACCCTGCCATCCCAGGAGGTCCCGCGCTGCTTTCCATGCTGTTAATTCCACCAAACTGGAAGCAGATGGGAGCTGCCCGTCCCCCCCGGCGCGGCATCTGGAGCGCAGGGATCTCCTCTTTTCGCGCCGCCTCCTCATCCTCCCCTCGCTGCAAACGTCTCCCCGGCCCGGCTGCTGCCGCCGCCTCTCCCGCTGTCCAGCCGCATCCGTCCTTGTCCGGCCGGTTGGTACCAAACCCCGCGACTGCAGAGAGCTGCTTCCTTCCAACCCCTGTGTGAGCGATGGGGCAATTCCTGCCTCCTAAAATGCTCCTCCGGGACGGCACGAGAGAGACCTGGGGCTGGAAACGCAACCTCAGCCCCTTGCTCTGCTGGTGCAAAACAGTTTTGCCAAAATTGGGAAGTTTGTTGCCCTTGGCTGATCCCAGAAGGTTGATCCCTTATACCAAGGAATAAGGTGGGAATAAACAAGGATTGCAAAACAGAGTGCTGACACAGCAAAAATAAACAAACAAATACATATATATGGATACTCAGCAGCTCGACCCAGCCTCAAGCCTCGTATTTTTGCCAGGGAAGGGACACTTGAGCTGGAAGCCGAAGGCCAAACGTCGGGTTTTGCCTTTGCCAGCGTCAAAGCGGCTCCCCCAGCGCTCGCGGTGCCAGGAGAGGGCGGTTTGCAGCAGGGGAGCTAATTGCCACGGCTTGTCCCAACAACCCCAGTGCCTGCAGAGACGGGGCTAAAAACTCCGGTTTTGGCAGCGCTGCAGGGCCAAGGCCCCAGAGGTGCTTTTGCCTGGGCCCGTTTCGACACCGCGCCGCTATCGCTAACACAGGGAGACTGCAGCGGGCTACAGACATCCTTCCCTGATGCCACCGCTCCGCCGGCACCATTCCCTAGGGTTTTCCTTGTTTCTGGAGCTCTTCTACCACAGCACGTCATGCTCTGGGGTAAGTTCAGCACAAGCTTTGGATGCTTCTCCAGTGGTGTCACGTGGGCCGGCTAGGGGAGCCTGCTCTGTTATTTGTTTTTTTCATTGCTATTTTGCCCTCTTCCAAGAAAAGCATCATTTTGCACGGAGCAGAAGCCGACAGCGCAATGCCGAGTGTCCAAACGTCATTCCAAGGCCACAGGGCTGCCTTGCTCCCGAGCGGCGAGCGCCGCCTGCTCCTCTTCATCACTCACCAAAATAGCCCTGTCCTCGTGCCGCCCGCCCTGATCCACCACAGGGCACCAGCGAAAATCCCTTTTCCATTGATCCAATTAAGCTCCCGGCCAAGGCAGCCGGCGCTCCCAGCATGGACGGGCTCCAGAGCGGAGGGGGGACGTTGCCACCAGGTCGTGTCTCCATCCCCTGGTGCCAAAAGCACGTGGAGCGCTGAGCTTCCCGCTCCCTCCGTGATCCTGGCCCTTCTTCTGCCCAGTTTCCCGCTCCTCCGGCACATGTGCAGGATCCGGCCCCATTGAACCTCCCGGCTTGCAAACCTGCTGCAAGGGCTCTCCTGGGAATCACAAACCCTTTCCCGGTTCCATTCACCGAAATAAAGAAATAAATAAACGCGCTGCCAGGAAAGCCCAGAGCCACATGGCTCGACTCCTACCCGAGCCTCTGCTCTCCCTGGAGGAACACGGACAAGAATCCGCCCTGCCGACCGCACCTCCTTGCTGCGGGAACGCTGCTCCAGCATCCTCTGGAGCGGCAGGGGTGGAGACGGGGGGGTCGAGGGCCCGCAACAGCGAGAGACACAGGTAGGATGCGAGACATGGAGTGGGAAGCCCCCACACCTCCTTCCTTGCTCTTTATCCCTACATATCCTCTTTTTTTCTTCCCTTTGCACAGAAGGAATTGGCTTGTCGAGGCACTCGCCGGGGATTACGGCGCTTTGCTAAGGGCAGAGAGACCTGATAGAGGTTTGCAAATCCAATTTGCGCTAAACCCTTCCAGTGGGTTTTGGACGGCGCGCGGGCTAATATCGCATTAGCGTTTACTGTCCGACTCCAGCGGCAACCGCCGACATATTGAACCACTTAGCGCTGCTCCAGAGCGAACGCAGGAGAAATTCCTCCCCGGAGCGCGCTGGCCGCGCGGGTGGCAGCCCCAAGCGGGCACGTGGATGGAGATGCCCGCGAGGGAGAGGCCGGCACCGGCACAGGGAATAGCAGGGGGGTCTCCAAACGGAACGGGGCAGAGCGGCCATGCACAGTGAGGCTGGGGCTGTCGCGACGGGCGTCTGCACGACGCCGTTGTGTCGCTGGCGGGCACCGCATGCGCCGCACGCATCCGCTCACCTACCTGCTCCGGAGCTGCTCCCGTGTCCGAGCCG